GAGAGAGAGAGTACGAAAAGTTTTTTACTATACGTAGGATTACATTAAAAATTGTGTACAAAATTTATACGACATTTGAACTGATGTTAAACTAAAAATATACACATTTCTCTCCACACTTTTATCTCAAACTTAAAACACTTTACTCTCATATCTCATTGAAAATTGAGATCAAATTCATCCCCAAAAATACAGCCAAAACTTTGTTTCACTTCTCTCTCCTCTCCAGACCTGATCCACTCATTGAACAAAAACACTGTTTTTATAATAAAAACTTTTTTGTGTATATATTTCTTGTGTAACAATTAATTTACGATTTCAATCGTATTCGCCTTTATTTACCGTTAATTAGTGTTACTTTTTATTTGAAAAAGTTTTATTTTAAGACTCGCTTTAATTATTGAAATACATTTTATTTTGTGCTTTAATTATATTAAAATAATTTTATGCGTTAATTGTAATAAATAATTGCCTTATTTTTATTATTAAATTATTTATTAACGTTTTATTTTCTCGTAAAAGTTTTAAATAAAAGTTTTTGTTTCACTCGATATAAGACAACTGAACAACAAATCAAAACTAAACAGTTTTTAAGTAAGAAATAGTTTTTCATTTTTGTTTTCTACTAAAACTTAACATTTGTTTTAGTGTTAAACACATTTAGCTATAGTACAATTAAACATAATTATTAAACTGTGTTTTAATTAATAATTATCAAAAATTATTTCCAGAAAAACAATGTCTAAACGAAAGGCAATGAATATTCTGTCGACAATTGTATTAATCATATCAATAACACAATTAACGACAATATGGTGTCAATCGGATCCCACATCACCGCTGGATCTGATCACTGGTGGCGTGAAATCCATGTTTGGTTTGGAAGGAGTGATGAGAACTTTCAAGAAGTTCAGCGAAGGTATGATTCCGTTCCCACTGTTTGTGCCAATTATACCCAAATCACGGGTTATGGATATATTTAAACGCAAGAAGTCCAAGAACTCGGCTCACGAGACACTGGAACAAATATCAGGTACAATTTACACTTTATATATTTTGTTCATGATCAATTATGTAGCATTTAATAGTTGCTAAAAATAAAATGTTAAATAAATCGCCAAACTTAATTAAACTTATAAAATAAGCTTTGTGAGAGTATTTAATATTGCAGTATATCTTAAATAAATCAACTTGATCAATTTTTGTATTTATTTGCTAAATACAAAATATAATTCTTAATTATACATAACACTTTTAACTTAAATAGAATCAAATTCCAAACTAAACAAGCTACAAGTTCCCATACCGTTGCAATTATCGCAGCAATTGATGGCTAAACTTAACCCAAACTATCAACAACTCAACGAACAAATACTTTTGCATAGTTTGAGACAACAGGACTCCGGACTCTCACCTGAAATACAGCTTATGATGAATGGCGGAGGACTGGGAGCGGGAATGGGAACAGGACTGGGAGCGGGACTCGGATCAGGACTGGGATCAGGATTGGGCTCAGGATTGGGTTCAGGACTGGCGGCAGGTCTGGGCGGACAGTCGGCGGGCATTGACGACGACATGCGGACCAATAATCTGAATTTGGACAACGATTTTGAGAACAAGTGAAACAATTTAATATTTTAATCAAAATATCTTAAAATATTATAACAAATAACACTTGAATTGTGTCTACAATAGCGATGACGAGAGTAACAGCTATTCAGAGAGGTTTGAGTCGGGACTCAACACCGATGACTACATCCACGCCAGCGATGACCAGCGGAAGGCGCCGTCGGCTCAGGACGTGATCCACAACTGGCAGATAATTGACGAAGAATTGAAAAAAATTGGCCAACAGTTGGGAAAGTTAGGCAAATATTTGAATAGAAACTAAATATTATTACTTTAAACAAAAAATAATCATTTAATTTGTTTGTATATTGAAAATGATTTAATTGTGTGATTTCGGTATTAATAAATAATAAATAATTGTATTTTACAATTAACTCTCGGCTTATAAACGGCACAAAATGTCTGCTATATTCTGGTTATTGAATATCAGTTTAATTAATAACATTTAATTAATTTTAATAAAGTTTTAATAAGACTTTTACACCTATTTTCTGTTGTATTCATACGTTGTCTACAAAATAATCTGTGATTTTTGTTTTTATTCTCAATGTTTTCAATTTATACTCAATGTCTCGAAACAATTTAAAATCAAAATCAATTTAACATTAAATAAAACTTAAAACAATATTAAAATGTAATTACAGAGAGAAAAGCGGATTTACTTCTGTTATAAATAAAATGAAAAATAAAAACAATAAAACAAAAAACTTTTGTAAAATCAAATCTCTTCGACGACCTCCTGGTCCACATCCTGTGCGCCACTAATATCACGCCTACGACCGGCGATTCCCCACCCATTGACCGGTGGGTCCCACTGCTGGGTAGAGTGACCGAGTGAACTATCAAACACCTGACACGTCGAGTTACATTTGCCGGTAATAGTCCACACCCTATACAGGGCTCGAATGGCGGACACACCGGCGCCACTACGGCAACCGTTCTGGTTGTCGGCCGTGAATATAGCCGTTCCCCAGAAGTGATCGCCCGGACAGACATCACCCGTGAGTACACCCGTCTCCTGAAAGTCTCGATTACCTAAACAATAATAATATCAATAATTATTTTATACAAACATTGATTACATATTAAATACTTTACAGACCGTTACTATACGTGGAAATACCCCGATATTGGGTGACTCTGACGGGGTATGCCTTCTCAAAACGGCCCTTCCGTACGACAGCCGTGAAGGCCCTGTCGTCGGTGTCAACGATTACGCCATCGCAAGTGACCTGTGCTTGACGTGTGCCCGATGTGTATAGGGACACAAATGTTGTAGGTGCCTCGCATATGAATTGATCATCATAAGTTATTTCAGTTTCAACGATTGGGCTAAATTCTTGTGTTTGTTAATTAATTAAACATTAATTTTAACTAATATTACATTAATATTAATACGTTTATAGTAATACTAACCCACATTACGGACTTAGTCATGTCATTTTGGCATGTTACATGAAATTAATTAAACATTTAGCTTTATAATCTATTTACTATTAATATAAATAGAGTTTAATTCTCACCATTGAATTGTTTTTTGCATTTTGTTATAGTTATTAAACAACAAAATAATAACCAATATTTAATTGTATCCATTTTTTAATAATTTTTTTTGTTTAATTTTTTGTTATAAAAATACAACTATTAAATAAAAAACTGATTTTAGTTAAAATAAAAACAGATATTCAAGTGTTGAGATCAATACACTTATGGCAGTAATAGACTAATTAAGACCAATTTAGGGCTAAACATTTTTAATTACAACATTTTTTAATTAACTAGATAAAAATGATTTAATCAATCAATATAAATATAATTGTTACTAATATTAATATAAATAAACTTTTTGAGAAAGAAAGAAACTTTAAATATAAATTAGTTTACCTTATAATTAATATTAAATGTTTACAATTTTACAATAAATAACAAAAATTATTTCGTAATTTAATAAAAATAAAACTATTTATTTATAAGTTATAATTATAACTATTGTAAGAGATTATTGTTGCAATTCACAAATATTTTAACATTTATGAGAGAATAACGACCATGGTCTTTTATAAAACATACATAATATTATAATTATATTCACTCTCTGCTAATTAATAACATCTAAAGTAGGAATTCCCTAGGTACGATTTATGTTCATTTTTCCTATGTAAACTTGCATGAGTTTACATTGAATCATAGGTTTTCAGGGAATTCCTAATCTAAAGGGAAAGTGAATGCAAACATAATAAATCTTATATAAAAGTCAGATACGTCATTAGTTTTTACCATAACTTATGCAAAATTACGTAAGAATTTCAAACAATAAAATTATTATTAATTAATTAATTTTTAATTAATCAACGAATTAATCTCTCGCATGGTGTTTAAATTGAAAATCAATAACTTACATAATACATTTTAAATAATGAAATCAATAGACTATTATTAATTTGTAGTAATTAATTAACTTTATTTAACTTTTAAAAATAGATAAACATTAAGTTAGTATTTTTGCATGTTAATTGCGTTTAGTGTTTGGCGTGTAATTAATAATTCAATAGAGTATAGAGGCGTTCATCGGATTTGTTAATTATATAGTATTGGATATTGTATAGAAAATTATAAGCTAATTATTAATTAAATAATTAGATCAATTAAATTATTTCGAAATAATAAAATAATAAACTTGCAAAGTACAAAAATTGGCATATTTATGCACAATGTATTTCATTATTGTCCTATGCACTCATTGTGCCCATAGTAATGGTGGGAAGCGATGACTTGCCTGCCGGGCCGTTACAGCTAAACAACTCGGTAACATATTTAACATGATCCTTCCATTTCTTACTCTTGTAATACTTGAGCCCCAAATACAGGCCAAAGCCGAGGACCACAAACACAACACCACCGGTACATATGGCCCATCCGATGCCCTCAACGAAAACATATTTAGCCAACACACCCGCCGTTACGCCAACGCCTGCGCCCACACCCATCCCTGTCCACTCGGCTTTGGTTACTTGGCTGCTCCAACCCTTACCGTATTTCCACAATGTGCAGTACCACTCGCAGTTATTTCGCTGAGAGAGAGAGAGAGAATGGTATTTATCATTTTGAAATAATCATATTAATTTTTATATTATATCTAGAGCTAGGACTTGATGAGTCATTTAATATTCAGACTCATAAAAATAGTGTTACCCTTTAATCACTCAAAATTACTTACGTTGAGCTTATAATCGACCATGGTGTCTTTTAAACGGTTCAATTCGGCGAACACAATGTTAAGGTTCAACTCATTGAGTCCCAGTCTCTGCGCCCGACTTTCCTGATTATTTACGCGACACAAATCATAGCCCGGCTTTACATCCGTCCCGTCCGCCCCCTCTTTCTGTATAATATCTCTCAACGTCTCATAACATATCCATCCCTTGGAGCCATTGTTCCGGCCATTGCTGCCAATGGAGTTTTTCTTATGACTGGTCACGTGATAACACCACACAATAGCCCCCGTAGTGCTTTCGCATAGAGCCCAGTGCTTAAACCAACCACGCTCAATCTCAACCATAGCGCCCCGTTTGAGCTGTGGGTCAACAAAGATCTCGTTATAGTCTTTGAATGATCCCAAACGCTCGCCCTTTGATGACACCGAACCCATTGTCCGTCCCGTTAATCACAATTCTGTGGCAATAATTGCTGATAAATATAATATAAATATAATAACCAAGATATGTCCATTTGTGTGATTTCGCGTATACGGCGTATTGCATTGAAAAACTGTGTTTCACACAGTGCTTGGGACTATCACCAGTACGCTCTATGGGCGCAATTACAAAAATGGACATATCTCGGTCATTTATGGCTATCAGGCCGAGATATTCAATTTATATTTTTTTATTTGGCCTAAACAAAACAATTAGTGGATTTTTATCAAGATCTGGTAACTTAACAAATCTTTCGCTTGTCAGTAATATCAGTATTTTGTTAAGTTTTCGCCCTCAACTATATGTGGGGACAATAATTAGACTTACGTATTATCTAAATTGTCATAATATAAATCATTCATTACTTACTTTGATGGACGCAAACGGTGATCATGTATTATATAAAATGACTATTAATCAATATATAGTGTATATATTTTGAGCAAACTATTGAATGACATTCACTTTATGTTTGAAATGTGTCTAAAATGCAATTTCATAGAAAATATTCTTGAAATTTAAATCAAAGTATAATATTTTATACTTTTATATCAATACAATATACAATTCAAGGTTAATTAAACGCCCAAACGTACGGTAAATATACGAAATCCGGTATATTAGTTATTATGCAAATGAAAAATAGATAACATATACAATTTGTATATATTCTAGACATAATAAAATATTGTTCAATTAATTGAAACTATTGATAGACTAGTATTCATACAGAGCTATGAAGTCATTCCGATTGCCTGAAAAATATGACACAATTTTTACCTTTATTTCAGACAACACTTTGTCGCCAATTTTTCAATAATAATGATATCATTTACAAAAAAAATTTTGATTTTAGCACAAAACTTCCTTAAAGACAGTATTTTAATGTTGATAATAATATGTAAATTATAGCTGTTTTTCTATCAGGCGATATTAAATGTGTTTTAGTCCATAAAATAAATTGATTTTATTTTATTTATTTACCTAACATTTCACGACAGACTTTATATGATTAAAATTTATAGATAACAATTTCAAACATTAAAAACCTATTTTATTTACGCTGGTCTGAAATTATTTTCAATTGTTTTAATACGTTTACATTCAATTATTAATAGTGTAATATTAATAGAATTATATTTATTGTATAATCTTATATTAAACACTATATTAACTAAATATTAATTCTAATTAGTAATTCAGTAGTAATAATCATTGAATATTATATTAAATTGTATTTAGATTGATACTTTGATTAGTAAAATTTATTAACATACTCAATATATATAAAATCCGATGTCAAACATTTGAATTACTATAAACAACATGTTTAAAACTAACTTATATAAAACATATTTAAATTGTATCATATTTATGAATAGTGTATGAAATCCATGCCATATGCGGTGCAACGGGTGTCCAATACAATGACTTTATGCGTGAATCACACCACAACCATTTGCCCGGCCTATAGACCGCCGCCGCGATCCCTATTAATAGGGCTCTCTTTCTGATGCCATCCACGTATTGAATCAATGGTCCGCCGGAATCGCCCTAACATTACATACGCATAGATTGAATAAAAATGTATTATCAATACCAACAAATGTAATTGTATTATAATTAACGTATGTAATAATGTATTCACATTATAAAGTTTACATACTTCGCAAAGCGCGGCCGACCTATTGGTATTGCGATCGACATGTGAACACAGGACATTATCGCAAAGTTGGGGCTCGATCAAAAACTTGGCCCGTTGTAACTCATGGGCATATTTAAACATGTACGATGATTTGAACCGATACCCCCACCCGTAACCGACCGCATCGTATCCGTCCACAAAAATTGATGTGTTATATAATGGCAGACATACGGTGTTTACGTTATAGTGAACCTTATGCTTGAAATGGCTCATATTGATGGGTGCGCTCAGCTTATAGAGTGCGATATTGTAGAAATTGATTAGACCACGACGATCAAAATCGTAATAATATTTAATGTACCATGGGTGCCGGTGCACATCCGACACGTACACCCGAACAGCTTGACTGCCCACTAGACGGGCATTACCTCCGAAATGCACACGAATTCGTGGGCTAAAGTCGGTGAGATTTGGATACCTGCAACATATTTATCAAGTATTTAATTTCAAAACTATCTATCTATAAACAATGTCCATAAATTATAAACAAAATGACCCATAATTCACTTGAGGTTACAATTGGCTGCCGTCACAATCCAGCGCCGGTTGATTAAACTGCCCGTACATGAGGTCCAGTATGACTTAGTCCAGCCTTCGTATGTAATGTACACAGTATAGGGAGACTCAGCGAACTCGGCATCGCTTCCCTCGTATATCCTATTTGTGGGCAACGTTTGTGGTCTAAAGTCACTGTTGCTTATGATAACATTCATTGTCTGATCATTGATTTGATTTGCGAAACATTTTTGGGGGCGACTAATGGTAGCTTTGAGTCTCATATACCTGAGCCCACATTCATCGCCAGTGATGTTTAAATAATGGCCATATTTATTGGGCCAACACATCATTGCTATAAAATTGATACAAAATAATCAAAAATTTGATAATCATAAATATATTGATAATACTTTGCCATAAAATCAAATGCAATATAATTGTAAACATTGAGCTATGTATTTGATACTTTACTTATCTAACCGTTAAGTAATCAATGATAATTTAAATAATTACAACAATTAAAACCGTTTAATTTTTTTGGTTGTTTGGACATTAGTTTTTATTACTATGTATTGTTTGCAATGAATAACTACGAGTTCTATCTGTAAATTATTTTATTTATTTAGTGCAGACAAGTTATATAATATGAATAAATTGGGTGACCGAGTGGCGAGACATACAGTATATATCAATATCTCACTAACTCGTGTGTTGGGCGGCCCTAACACTAATCGCGTGCACTAAAAGTTTTTAAAAACTCAATAAAATATTGTATTATAAAGTTTGTCTGCCATAAGAAGAGCTGCTTTTGTCTAGTATATTGTTTAATAAATGTTTAATTTTTTCAAATTACGTAAAACTAATATAAACTAAAATTAAATGAATAATAATAATAAGGTTTGCATTGATTCTCAACTAATTACTAATTACTGAACAAACATGCAATGTTATTGATATCATAAAATCAATAAGCATTACAGATAAATTAATCCTATAAAAATATCGTTGTTTTTTTAATCTAATTTATATTAAAATATCAAAATATCATTCAAATAAAATGAATATTAATAATTAAGATTTTTAATGATTTTCAATTAAGGTATAAACACACAATGTTATTGCTATGATATGTTCAATCAATAAGTATTAAATCAACTTTTTGTACGAATATAGATAAACTTATAAATATATACTTTTGGGGAAAAATAGAAATTGTTTTCTTTTTAAATTATTAATAAAATCATAAATAATTATAAAGTTTATAGCAATAAATCAAACTTAATTAAATCTTGTTAAGTTATAAATTATAATATTTCAATATAAAGTATACTAAAATGGGTCTCATATTTAGTAAAATAAAGCAAAAATATAATGATTCAATTGAAAAAAATAGCCGACATGTTCTAGATAAAAAGTTTCAATGGTTTGCCAGAAATTATTTCGTAGTTTTTTTGGACTCCGACTGGTATTTGACGGGTGTTTACAATAAACGCAAACAATTGCCACTAATTATAGCGAGAATTGTGTTATTATTAGTAGCCGTCAGATATGGGGTCTCAGCGCTGGTCAACAGCCGGCAAATGAGGGCCTTATTGTCGGATTCAAACTATATGTTAGGCAATCCGCGTTTAATTTCAATCATGTTTAGTATCTCAGCGTTAGTCCCGCTATTCATTGGCATTATATTACAATACATTGAATTCATTGGCAAATTATATCTCTATAATCTGTTCAATGATTTAAAATACAACACATTTGATCCGCCGTTAAATTAGAAACACAAAAGACAATTGATTTTAAGAGTAAATTTATTTATAAAATATTGTTTATATCAAACGTTTTGGTTTCTTATGATTATAACAAATGGTATTACTCTTTGGGCAACACTTAAGGCATATTATGATTCCACCTCTGGTTTCACTATAATTTCGTCCATATTTTGGACAATTTGTAACATTTGTTGGTCGTCTCAACTCTTTGGTATGATTTGTATTTCATTTATAATATGGTATTTTAGCACAAGTTATTTAAAATATAAATTTATTGAAATTAATAAATATATTGAAATTTGTATTCAATATAATAACCAAAGATTACTTATGAATGCCATTAAAAGACACAATTCTGTGGCAATAATTGCTGAAAAATATAATTTATTCTTTAAATACGTACTGTTTTTTGTCTACTATTTCGCAACGCCTGCCATTGAAATAGCATTATATCTAACGTTTTCAAAAGACACTGAATATATGGCACGTTTTGTATTTGCATTTTTATTTACAATATTGTTTGGTGTAGTTTTTATGCTTAACTATATGTCGACTAGATTTACGAAACCCTCGTATAAATTACTTCCCCTTTTGTACGCATATATGAAATGGCGGAGTATTTCAGTGCAAAATCGTATCAAACTTTTGGCATTCAT